TCACTACTGGACAGATCTGCCAAATCGAAAATTAACAGAGAAATAAGGGGCTTAACTGATGTTACGAATCAAATGGATTTAATCAATATCTACAGTACATTCCACCCTTACAAAAAAGAATATACTTTCTTCTCAGCACCCCATGGAACCTTCTCTAAAACTGACCACATACTCGGTCACAAACCAAACCTCAACAGATACAAAATAATTGGAAAAACCTACTGTATTCTATCAGACCACCATGGATTAAAGTTAGATTTCAACAACAACAAAAATTACAGAAAACTTACAATCTCATGGAAACTGAATAATGCTCACCTGAATCACCAATGGGTCAAGGAAGAAATAAAGAAAGAAATTAAAGACTTCCCAGAGATCAATGAAAATGAATATACTGCATACCCAAATTTATGGGACACTATGAAAGCAGTGCTGAGAAGAAAATTCACAGCAGTAATGCCCACATAAAGATGTTGAAGATATCTCATACTAGTGTCTTAACAGCACACCTGAAAGCTCTAGAACAAGAAGACGCAAAGTCACCCAGGAGGAATAGATGCCAGGAAATTATCAAATTGAGAGCTGAAATCAATAAAATAGAAACAAAGAGAACAATACAAAGAATCAATGAAATAAAGAGTTGGTTCTTTAAATAATCAACAAGATAGACAAGCCCTTATCCAGACTACCAAAAGGCAGAGAGAGAGAGAGCATACAATCAGAAAATTACAAGGGAAAAGGGAGACATAACAACTGACAATGAGGAAATCCAGAGAATCATCAGGTCATACTTCAAAAACCTGTACTACAAAAAATTGGAAAATCTAAAAGAAATGTACAATTTTCTGGACAGCTACCACCTATCTAAGTTAAATCAAGACCAGATGGACCAATTAAATAAACCAGTAACACCTAACAAAATAGAAACCGTCATTAATAGTCTCCCAACCAAAAAAAGCCCAGGAACAGATGGTTTCAATGCAGAATTAAACCAGATCTTCAAAGAAGAGTTAATACCAACACTCTTTAAATTGTTCCACACAATAGAAACCGAAGGAATGTTACCAAACTCCTTCTATGAGGCTACAGTTACTCTGCTCCCCAAGCCAAACAAAGATGCAATAAAGAAAGGGAATTATAGACCAATCTCCATCATGAACATTGAAACAAAAAACTAAATAAAATACTGGCAAACAAACTCCAAGAACACATCAAAACAATTGTCTACATTGATCAAGTAGGCTTCATCCCAGAGATGCAAGGATGGTTCAACACACAAAAGTCTGTCAATATATTAAAACCATATAAACAAACTGAAAGAAAAAAAACACATGATCATTTCATTAGATGCTGAAAAGGCCTTTGACAAAATCCAACACCCCTTCATGATAAAGGTCTTGGAGAGATCAGGAATGCAGGGAACATATCTAAACATAATAAAGGCAATTTATAGCAAGCCAACAGCCAACATCAAAGTAAATGGAGAGAAACGCAAAGCAATTCCACCAAAATTAGGAACAAAACAAGATAGTCCACTCTCCCCATATTTATTCAATATAGTACTTGAAGTTCTAGCTAGAGCAATAAAACAACAAAAGGAGATCAAGGGGATACAAATTGGAAAGGAAGAAGTCAAACTTTCACTATTTGCAGATGACATGATAGTATACATAAGTGACCCCAAAAATTTGACCAAGGAACTCTTACAGCTGATAAACACCTTCAGTAATGTGGCAGGATACAAGATTAACTCAAAAAATTTAGTAGCCTTCCTATATACAAATGACAAATGGGCTAAGAAAGAAATCAGAAACATCACCCTTTACAAAAGCCACAAATAATATAAAATACCTTGGGGTAACTCTACCTAAGCAAGCAAAGGACCTGTATGACAAAACTTTAAGTCCCTGAAGAAAGAAGTTGAAGAAGATGTCAGAAAATGGAAAGACTCCCATGCTCATGGACAGGTAGGATTAACATAATAAAAGTGGCAAACTTACCAAAAGCAATCTACAGATTCAATGCAATCCTCATCAAAATCCCAACACAATTCTTCACAGACCTGTATAGAACAGTACTCAACTTCATATGGAAAAACTAAAAACACAGGATAGCCAAAAGAATCCTACACAATAAAACAACCTCTGGAGGCATCATGATCCCTGACTTCAAGCTCTACTATAGACCTACAGTAAGAAAAACAGCTTGGTACTAGCATAAAAACCAACACATGGACCAATGGAACCGAACTGAAGACCCTGACATTAATCCGGACACCTACAAATAGATGATTTTCAACAAAGAAGCCCAAACTGTACAATGGAAAAAAGAAAAGATCTTCAAGAAATGGTGCTGGCATAACTGGATGTCAACATGTAGAAGACTACAAATAGATCCATATCTGTCACTGTGCACAAAACTTAAGTCCAAGTGGATCAAAGACCTCAACATAAATCCAGTTACTCTAAACCTGATAGAAGAGAAAGTAGGAAGTAAGAGAATTGTAGCTGGACTTTTTTCCAGTCCTGTCTGGCCCATGGTCAGGACAAATCTCTCTCATCTGCCAGCCCCGCAGCCGTTCAGACCCAACTGAGTAAACACACAGAGACTTATATTGCTTACAAACTGTATGGCCGAGACAGGCTTCTTGTTATCTAGTTCTTATATCTTAAATTAACTCATATCTATTAGTCTATAAGTTGCCATGTGGCTGGCAGCTTATTGGTATCTTTACATGACACTTTCCATGGCGGTGGCTGGCAGTATCTCTCTACTCAGCCTTCCTGTTCCCAGCATTCTCTTCTCTCCTTGTCCCACCTATACTTCCTGCCTGGCTACTGGCCAATCAGTGTTTTATTTATTAACCAATCAGAGCAACACATTTAACATACAGAACATCCCACAGCAGAGAAGAAGAGAAAGTCTTGAACACATTGGCACCAGAGATCACTTCCTAAATATAACACCAGTAGTACAGACACTGAGAGCAACAATTAGTAAATGGGACCTCTTGAAACTGAGAAGCATTTTGTAGGGCAAAGGACACAGTCAATAAGACAAAATGACAGCCTACAGAATGGGAAAACATCTTGACCAACCCCCACATCTGACAGAGGGCTGATATCCAGAACATATAAAGAACTCAAGAAATTAGACATCAAAATACACAACAGTCCAATTAAAAATGGGCTATAGAGCTAAACAGAGAATTCTCAACAGAAGAAGCTCAAATGGCTGAAAGACATCCTTAGTCATCAGGGAAACGCAAATCAAAATGACTCTGAGACACCATCTTACACCTACCTCTCAGAAGGGCTAAGATAAAAACCACTGAAGACAAGTTATGTTGGAGTGGATGTGGAGCAAGGGGGACACTTCTCCACTGTTGGTGGGAGTGCAAATTTGTACAGCCACTTTGGAAATCAGTATGGTACTTTCTCAGAAAATTGGGAATTGATCTCCCTTAAGACTTAGCTATACCACTCTTGAGAATATACCCAAGGAATGCTCAATCATGCCACAAGGACACATGCTCACCTATGTTCATAGCAGCCTTATTTGGAATATCTGGAACCTGGAAACAACCTAGATGCCCCTCAACTGAAGAATGGATAAAGAAAATGTGGTACATATACACAATGGAATACTACTCAACAGAGAAAAACAATGACAGCATAAAATTTGCAGGCAAATGGATGGAACTAGAAAAAAATCATCCTGAGTGAGGTAACCCAGACTCAGAAAGACAAACATGGTAGGTACTCACTCATAAGTGAATAGTAGATGAAAAGCAAAGGATAAGCAGACTGCAACTCACAGCTCCAGGGAGGCTACCTAGTGAAGAGGACCCTATGAAGGACACAATATTGCCCAACGATGGAGAAATGGATGTGATCTACATGATCAAGCATCATTTGGGGTTGAGAGGGGTTAATGGAGGGCAAGGGTTGAGACAAAGAGAGCTTAGGGGAGCAGGAGGTCTTAGCTAGATCAGGAACAGAGTGGGAGAACAAGGAAAGAGATACCATGATAAATGAAGCCACCATGGGAATAGGAAGATGCAGAGTGCTAGAGAGGTCCCCAGAAATCCACATACATGATTCCAATAAGACTACTGGCAACAGTCAAGAGGGTGCCTGAGCTGACCTACACTGGTGATGGAATGGTCGAACACCCTAACTGTTGTGATTGGACCCTCATCCAGGTACAATGGAAGCAGATGCAGAGATCCACGGCCAAGCCTCAGGTGGAGCTCCAGGAGTCCAATCGACGAGGGAGAGGAGGGATCATATGAGCAAGAGATATTGAGACCATGATTGAAAAAGGAAAGAGACGACTAGCCAAACTAGTGGAAACACATGAACTGTGTCCAATAGCGTAGGAACCCCCATGAGATTGGATTAGACCCTATGTATAAGTGAGACAGTTTCTTAGCTTGAACTGTTTAGGAGGACCCCAGACAGTGGGACTGGGACCTGTCCTTAGTGCATGAGCTGGTTTTTTGGAACCTAGTGTCTCTGCTGAGACACTTAGCTCAGCCATGGTACAGGGAGGAGGGGATTGGACCTGCCCCAAATGTAGGTACCACGCTCTGCTGACTCCCCAGGGAAGACCTTGCCTTGGGATTGGTGGGAATGAGGGGTGGGTCGGGGGGAAGGCTGGGAGGTAGGAGAAGGAAGGACAGGGTTATCTGTGGTTGATATGTAAATGAATAGAACATATCTTAATAAAATGAAAAGAAAAAAATATAAAAAATTCATTTCTGCTGGCTCTTTTGAATTTTTGGTGTGACACAGAGTTGTCCTATTGAGTTACAGAATTTGGAAGGCATTCTTGCTGTCCTTTTGACCCTCTGTGACCAGATGAGTTTTGATCAGGCTGCTAAGAATGTTCAATGATGAATGAATGATGTTACACAAGGGATGTTGGGAAAAAATGGGATATCCAGGTAAAAGAATGAAGTTAAGCCTTCATTCATATACAAATCATCTCTACATGGATCAAAGATCAGAGCTGACAGTCATCAGACTTTTAAGAGACAGGATGAAAGCATCTTGAAACTCGATTTCTAATGGTATCTTTGTTATGATGCCAGATGCATCATGTGGGCCTTTTGACTGCTTATATGTCACTACAGAAGATGCATGTTTGGTACCTGAGGAGGACAGAGAGGGTGTTGAATTCTTTGGAACTTCAGTTACAGATGTAATAGGCTGCCATGTGGGTGCTGGGAATTGAACTCATATCCTTTGGAAGAGCTGCCAGGGCTCTTAACTATTGAGCTCTCTCTCCAGTCCCATAAACCATACATACACACACACACACACACACACACACATACTATTACACACCAAAAAAACCCCAGTTATTAGAAAAAAAGCATCTTGTGCAGGGATGTCATGCTTCAAATGTCAGCATGAGGATAAGAAACTCAGTATACGGGCCACCAAGATGGCTCAGCTGGCAAGAGTGCCTGCCGTACTCCCTCCCAGTACCTGGCCCTAACTGCCACACAGAAATAAATGCACAAACAAATGTGGGCCAGTGAATTGGCTTAGCAGATAAACGGCTGGTTCATCCACCTGAGTTCAATCCCCTGTCCCTGGATAACTGGCTCCCACAAATTGTCCCCTGACCTCCACTCTTGGGTTGGGACATGCACACAAAATGAATAAGTATGCAAATATAGTAAGAAACTCGTTACAGGTCCTTTCTATCTATGCATTTTATATATATGGAATGAAACCTTGGAAACAAACTACTTGAAATAGTATCTCTACATAGAAAAATGTATTGTTTCCTCCTGTCTTTATACTGTACTCAACACAGTAAGACTAGTGTCTATGCAGTATTCATATTAGGCATTGGAAATAATCTAAAGAAGATCCGAATGTGTTGAAAGAAGTGTAGACTAACATGAATATTTTACTGGTTTCTGAGAGTTGACTGTGTGACAGACTCAGACCCTAAACTCTTAATCACTTTGCATTTCCATTTGCTCTATTGACATCTATTGTTGTTAATATTGACCGGGTCTCACAACGTAATCTGGGCTGGCCTTGTACTTCTATGCCTCCTGCTTCATGCTCTCTCTCTTTTGAGACAGGGTCTCACTATGTAGCTCTGACTAACCTGAAACTGGCTACAAAGACCAGGGTGGTTGGGAACTCAAGAGATCCAACTGTCTCTGCCTCTGGTGTGCTGGGATCAAATGCATGCAGCACTGTGCTCACCTTGCTTGGTGTTGTATCATGAGATTAACATGCATCCATCACCAAGCTGGCTGTATTTGTTTCCTGAACAATATTTTTCTCCTTGGGACTTTGACCCATTCTGCACTCTGTTGATAAAGAAACTGGTCCTAATCCCAAACACTATGGATTAGGAGGGAAACAGTGGTCACTCACGTATTATGTCCAGCTGGATGGGGTCACTCCTCTTGGAACTGACTTGATTGGATACTTCACACTGATAGTCCCCAGAATCCTCAATCCTCACAGAGTCTATTTGGAGGGTGCTGTTGTTGTGGGACAGCTTCATCCTGTCTGTGAGCTCCACACTCTGGCCTTTGAAGAGCCAATTGACAGAGATCCCAGTGTTGTTTGACAAGCAGTTCAGGAAGACAGAGGTCATATCTTTGAATGTGTTGTTGGTGACTTGGATGAAGGGTAGAGTCAGTGGATCTGTGGATAAATAGTGGAGGGACCAGCTGAGAGTCCTTCACCCTCAGAGAAATCAGCCAGTTCACAGGGCCCGTACAATGAAGGGGCCCTCTGCAAGATTGCATATTTGGGTTCAACATATGGTCTGTAGGGAGAGAGCTGAATCTTACTCCTACCAAGATCACTCACAGTGACCCTGACTCAGGGTATTTGTGTAGATTCCACACTGGGAGCCTCTTCAGCCCAAAAACCCAGAAATCTCATGGTTGGGAGGAATGTATTTCCCAATGATTTTTGTGGGGATTCTTGTTCACACTTTCTGTGAACAGTCAGGTCCCTCTTTTATGAAATAACCTCCTGTTTATATTTAATTAAATAATTTGTCATGGGGTTAAGATGGCCCAGCTAATCTTAAAGGTGTTAAAGGCTAGACCTCAGGACTGGGAGAAATCCCTAACTGAAGGATTTCTGTTTGTAGAAAAAAAATGTATTTCCTGCCCCATGGATATGGATTAAATACTACAGAGAAGAAGTGAATAATCACAGTGCTGACCACAGCCTACAAGTCTAATCCTTAGTATTGATATTATTTGACACAGGGTCTCAGTTTATAGTTCTAGCTTGCTTGGAACTTGCTATGTAGACCAGGCTCTCCTCAAACTATTACTATCTACATGCCTCTCCCTCCTCAGTGCTAGCATTGAAGATGTGTGACACCACACTCAGCTATTTGGTTTTTGGTTTGTTGTTGTTGTTTTGGTTTTTCTAGACAGAGTTTCTCTGTGTAGCTTTGTGCCTTTCCTGGATCTTGCTCTGTAGACCAGGCTGGCCTTGAACTCAGAGAGATCCACCTGCCTCTGCCTCCTGAGTGCTGGGATTAAAGGCATGTGCCACCACTGCCTGACTCTTATTTGTTTTTTGAAGCTTGAGAAGAGTAAGCAAAAAGGCATCATCAATTGTCAGTTTCATGGTTCACCCTGACTCAGAACAGGGCTCCCAGGCACCTTCTCCACCCACTCTTCCCATCCCATGGAGTCAGAACTGAGACAGGGGCAGACCTGGGAGCAGAGGTGTAGTCCCCATCTGTGGGGAATATTCTCCTCCAATTTGGAGAATAAGAATGTGAGCACAGTTGAAAGTCCTGGGTGTTCCTTGTAGGTCGTGGAGGTCATAAAATGAAAATGGAGGGCACAGGACAGCTTGTGTTAGGTACAGAAAGAAATCTTGACCTTGAGGCTCTCCTAACCATGGAAAGTCCCTCACAGAAACTAAGGCTTTTCAAGAGTGGGAGAACCTCCTCCTCACATTGCAAAAGTGGTGGTATTGTGTTCCCCAAAATATTGTACACCCTAATAAACTTATCTGGGGTCAGAGACAGAGCAGTCACTAGATACAAAGGCTAGAAAATGGTGGCACTCACACCTTTAATCCTAGCACTCCAGAGGTAGAAATCCCTCTGGATCTCTGTGAGTTCGAGGCCACATTGGAACCAGCCAGGCATGGTGACACACACTTTTAATCCCAGAAAGCAAGCCTTTAATCCCAGGGAGTTGTGGTTGAAAGCAGAAAGGTATATAAGGCGTGAGGACCAGAAACTAGAAGCATTTGGTGGGTTAAGCTTTCAGGCTTCTAGCTGCACAGTTCAGCTGAGAGCCATTCGGATATGAGGACACAGAGGCGTCCAGGCTGAGGAAACAAGATCAGCTGAGAAGTTGGTCAGGTGAGGTTAGCTGTGGCTTGTTCTGTCTCTCTGATCTTCCAGTGTTCACCTCAGTAACTGGCCTCAGGTTTGATTTAATTAATAAGACCTTTTAAGATTTCTGCTACAGCAAGCTTCATCCCTATCAGCCAGAAACCAGAGAACCAGGAGGCCAATAGACATAGGGATGGAGCAGGAGGCTTGAGGGAAGACTGAGTTTTGCTAGTTCCCGAAGTCTTGGGCTGGAAATTAAATGCTTCTGCCACTTCCCAGAAAGCTAAAAGACTCCACTCCAAACCTGTAACTGATATTTCAGAGATCAACTTACTAAGGACTGTAATGTTCTTGACTGTGGTCCTATAGACTCCAGGAAAAATGTTATAGATGAGGCAGGAATAGGATCCGATATTATTAGTATTGATATTGAGGATAAAGAGCTCTTGGGAGGATGACTGGAACTCTCTATTGACAAACCAAGAGTACTGTTGAGGTGGGTTAGCATCTATGTGGCAGGAGATGTGAGGTTTGTCCTTGAATGGAAATGAATATTTGAGGGGGATATGATCTGGACTTCTGGACCATCTGGAGAAAATAGAATTAAATCACACATGATATCAGCACAGAAAAGGGATTCCTGGTCTGTAGAAGGACATAGTATCTCTTTGAGCTGTGCTTTAACCTTAGTTGAGCAGGTCCTACCCAGAGTTGGGGAGGAGATTAGTACAAGAGTACTCATTCAGCATGCACAAGCCCTGATCTTTCTCAAGCACAACACACACACACACACACACACACACACACACACACACACACACACACACACACACACACCTCCCCATGGACACTCATGTGTGCACTGAAACTGAGTGTGACTTGTCCCCTGTCTCCATTACCCTGAGACTCTCTAGGCAGAATTCCCTGCAACCCATTCAAGCTCATTGCTGGGCCTGTCCACATATGTTTTGGCTGGTACAGGATGTCCTGGCAGCCTAGGAATCTGTATGGTAGGTCTGTGTCATGAACCCAAGTGGACTGGGACCGAGCATGGTATAGCTCTAGCCCTCTGTATTTACGCAGTTGGGACCAGGATGAAACAGAAAATACTTACAGGTAATGTTCAGAGAGAATGGGTCACTTGGGGAGGCACTCACTGAGTTCCAGTTTCACATTCATAGGGTCCTGTGTCAGTCTCACAACACTGAGTAATGTGAGGTTCCTGTAGTCATAAGACAGCTTCAGCCTGTCCTCTTCTGAGAGGCTTTGATCATTTATCCTCCACAGGTAGGTTATATTCTGAGTCTCATGCTCACACATTAATGCTACTGATCCTCACCCTCCATGGGATTGGAATTGTTGGTTGTGATGCTGGGCTTGGGTAGCAGTGCTATGCTGACCACAGAGAGATGATTGCCTTGTGTGGTACTTTTGTATCTTACAAAGGCCTCTTACAGCCAGACATTGTCTCTTAACTCCCAGCTGACCCAGATCCCTAAAGAATCAGGCAGGAAGCAAATTAAAGGCAGAAGGAGTGGCTGAGTTTTCAGAGATAATGGGGCCTCCTGTGCTGTGTATGGAAGAAGCAAGGACTTTCTCGTGAGAGAACTGAGCTGCGGTGTTTGGTGATGGTCAGACTCAAGACTTGGAATCACAATTCTCATTTTATATCCTGGTCCTCACTGACCCATTGCTGCCTTGAGACACAACATAACAGAAACAGAAGGAACATTGCCAAACTCTTTTTACCAGACTACAGTCAACCTGATACGCAAACCACACAAAGATGCAACAAGAAAGAGAATTGCACACCAATCTCTCTCATGAACATTGATGCAAAAATTCTCAATAAAAAAACTGGAAAATTGAATTCAAGAAGGGAGTATATATATATATATCCACCACAATCAAGTAGGCATCACACAGATATGCAAGGATGGTTCAAAATACATAAATCTGTCAATGCAATCCACCATATAAACAAACTGAAAGAAAAAACCCACATGATCATCTCATTAGATGCTGAAAAAGCCTTTGACAAAATCCAACACCCTCTTCATGACAAAGGTCTTGGGGTAATCAGGAATACATGGAACATTCCTGAATGTAATACAGGCAATTTACAGCAGTCTGACAGCCAACATCAAATTAAATGGAGAGAAACACAAAGCGATTTCACTAAAATCAGGAAGAAGACAAGGCTGTCCACTCCCCCCATATTTATTCAATATAGTACTCGAAGTTCTAAGTAGAGCAATAAGACAAAAACTAAAATCAGGGGGATACAAGTTGGAAAGGAAGAAGTCAAACTTTCCCTATTTGCAGAAGATACGATAGTATGCATAAGTGACCCGGAATTTCTACCAGAAAACCCCTACAGCTGATAAACACCTTCCCACTTTGCTGGCGGAAGACTGATTGGGTGAGTTGAAGTGTGAGTATCTTAGCAAGTGTCCTTTTAACCTCCCTGTGTTTCTAGGTTAGTTCTCCCTCTTCTTTCCAATCTTCGAATTCAATCAACTTCATTGAGGCAATCATGTAAAGCTGTGGGAATGTTAGACAGGGCGATTGCAATTTTGTGTGTTGAATATCCAGCGTTTCCATCTTATTCTCAGGGTCTCAGTTGTGGCAGCCATGAATAAGTGGTCTCTTGTGGCTGTGACCTAAGTGACAGAATGCCCAGGCTATTGACTCTCATTGTACCATGTCCTCTGCAGAGACCATGGTTTCTGCAGTGGGGTAGGACAGCAAGGCAGACTCTGTAAGACCCCAAATCCCTCTGCTTGGTGACTGTAGGGAACTCAGCCTCAAACTTGTAGAAACACTGTTGGAACTGCACTGCCATCTAAGACATGCCTCCTTCTCTGCCTCCACAGAGATCATATCTGCATGTGTCCTGAGGGCTATCCCAGGCTCACCGTCACAAGTATATTCCTCCACTAATAACTTGCTTGTCTCAGCCCTTCATGGTCACATCCTGGAGGATGAAATCTAGTAAATTACCAGGTTTAGAAATTTTGCATCAGACACCCCCCTCATTTTTTCTCTCCCATTTTTATTTAGTAGCTATGTTAAAGTGGTTTCACTTTTGCATAACATGTTTCTCCCCACACTCCTTATGTATCAATGCTGTCCTCACCTCTTTACTCCTTGTTGTGACCATTTGGGGTTCAAACTTCACCAGTCTGCTCAAGAGTGATTATAATGCTAATGTTGACCAAGGTGGTATGGTATTTATTATGTGGCTGGCCCTGTATTTGTATCTGGTTTCATCTATATGATGAGTCGGTCACATAGAAATTATTTCCATTCAGAGAATGAAAAACTGGAGCTTAAAGTGATTTTCAAAAAGTACTTAAATCTGTATGGTTAATCAGAGATAGACCAGGCTACCTGGCTTCAAGGCTAACACTAGTGGTAGGAATAATTGCAGCAACATTTTTTTCTTTCTCTGTGTGTGGTATTTTGCCAAAAAGGTTACTTGATTATTATATTAAGTCTTTAAAAACTACTATGAGGCAGGTGAAGGATGTGATATAACCTAGCACCCTAGCATCAGAGGCTGAGGCAGGATGATTGTGAATTTGAGGCAAGTTTGGGTTATATAGAGAGACCCCTGTCCCCTAAAAGGTTCCCTCAAGCTAGTAGATGGAGAAAACTAAAGATGAGGATGAAGATAAACAAAACAGAGTCTAGAGTAACTGCAAAGAAAGCTGATGCACCAAATGTTGGTCCTTCAAAAATGATTAACAACATTAGCAACTTTTTCCCAAATGAATTTTTAAAAAATGAGATGGATATTAATACAATTTGAGATCTCACCATCCATTCTCAAGAATATGAAGATTTTCAAGAGCACTCAGTAGTTATATGCTAACTGTTGTGTGGCCTAGATGCAATGGACAAATTCCTACAAACAGATTCTTTAGAGATGGAAGGGTGAAAGAAACCAAATGGAATAGCTGTATAACCAATAAGATTGAATCAACAAAAACATTGACAAAATTTCACAGACTTTGATAAGAAAAAAACACTGAAACATGATAGAAGTCCAGCGTCATATAACAAAGGCCACACATGGAAACCCACAGCCAACATCATATGCAGTGGGGAGACTGACAGCTTTCTCTTTAAGATCAGGAAGAACACAGGATGCTGCTGTGACCACCTCTGTTCAAGAGACCTTTAGGAGTGCTACACAGAGCCATTACAGTAGACAATGAAATGAAGGTACCCAATTATGAAGTGCTAAATATATCTGTAGATGAGAGGAACTTGTTCATAGAAAATCCTGAACATTCTACAGAAGGATCTCAGAACTACATGAGCAAAACTAGTAAATTTGTTGGCTAATGAAATGATCAAGCCTAAGTGAGCTGTATTTCTATATACTACTATTGACCATGAACAATCTGATTTTTGTTTTTCCTGGCAGTAGTAGAGCTTGAACCTAGGGCCTCGTGCATGCCCAGCAAGCGTTCAGCCCCTGAGCAATAAATAGTCCCAGCCATAACAGTGAACAATTGGAAAGGAAATGAAGAAAGTATTTATTTGTGAAAGCACCAAAAAGAATAAAATACTTAGAATTAACTCCACCAAGGAGATAAAAGACTTGCACTCAGAAAACTACCAAATAAGAGATGATGAAAGAAGACAAGAAATGACAGCCATTGGGGTTGATGGCCTGGAAGACTTAATCTCATTATTACTGTTGTTCTGCAGTACTGGGATTGAAGCCAGGGCTTTGTGCATGGTAAGCAATGCACTACCACTGAGCTATACTCTAAGCTCTGCCTTCTAATTTTTATTTAGAAACAGGATATCACTAAATTAATCAGGCTGGCCTTGAATTGGTTGTAGTAGGCACTTTTAGAACTTGTACTCCTGCCTCAACTTCTTGAGTAGCTGGAACTTTTTTTAATAGATGACAATATCCCTGAATTTACTCTATCAGTTCTATGCATATCAGATCAAAACCCCAGTAGCAATTTGCACAGAAATAGCAAAGTCCATTCTAGCTGTCCTGAAACTCACTATATAGTTCAAGCTGGCCTCAAACTGCTTGTCTCTGTTCCAAAGAGCTGGGGTTAGAAGCAAGCACCACCATAAATGGCCTTAAAAGTATCTTGAAAAAAACAAGAATAAAATTGCAGGTCATCCCCCATGATTTCATAATTTTAGTAGAAAGCTGCAACAATCAAAATAGTCTAGTGCTGACATAAAGGCAGACATACAAATCAGTGAAATAGAATTGGAAAGCCCAGAACTGCTCATGCACACTGGCCATGATTAAATTAAAGATTAATTAATATGATCAATATGTATGTTTATGGGGCACAGTTTTGCATATATATTATCATGTGTGTCAGATATGCACAGAGATTTCCTATTCATTTCACATATCAACCACAGATTCCCCTTTCCTCATTCCCCCAGCCCACCATTGTTCCCACCCAATACACCCCTATTCCCAACTACTCCAAGGCAATGTCTCCCATGGGGAGTCAGCAGAGCCTAGTCCATTCAGTTGAGTGGCCTTGTACTTCTATGCCTCCTGCTTCATGTTCTCTCTTTTGAGTCTATATAGC